TTGCTAACTGAAAGGTTGGTTGTTCAAACCCACCAGCTGCACTCTGGGAAAAAGGTGTGGCAGTCCATTTCCATAAAGATTTATAGCCCTGGAAACCCTGTGGGCTAGTTCTATTTTGTCCTATAGGGTTGCTATGAGTTGGAATCGACTGGACAGTACTGGGTTTAGTTTTATTGTTTTGTTTTGTTTTTCTTCCATTTTGTACCACTGAAACATAACCCTTGCAGGCCTTATTATACTTACCAATGGAGTGGTCCCTCTATCATAGGCAGGAGAGAATGAATCACACTGCAAACAGAATCAGATAAGTCGGATTTTAGAGTCAAACAAGCTTGACTCAAATCCCAGCTCTGGCACTTTGTAGCTGAATGGCTGGAGCAAGTTAACTCATGCCTCTGGGCCTTAGTGTTATTCATCTGTAAAAGAGACATCATAAAACCTACTTCACAGATAAGCTGTGAAGATGATACCTGTCAGCTTCCCCCAGCCCAGCAGCCGTGGTTTTGCCCACCCCACTGAACCACAGGGAACAGCCCAGCAGCTCTGCAAATATCTGCTACTTGCTTCTCCCCAGCCTTACCTCCTCCCTCCCCCCAAATCCTGGCACTTTTTACCCAGACTGTCAGTTGCCAAGCTGTGCTGGAGTCTTCCTGGGCTCACTTGATATGTTGCCAGTTTGGTTTTTTAAAAAAGCTAGTATCAGTGCTGAGACCCTGGGGAAACAGATCCTGTAACTACCAACTGCCTCTCTGTCATCCTGCCCTGGGGATCCCAGGTGATCCTATTACTGAGTGTCTCTCACTAGACAGCTGTCACTGAGTTCCTGTAGGGACCAGGATGGCAGACCCCCAGGTCCTAGGGGCCAGGAGCATGCCCTGAGCACAGTTATGCTGTTCTGCTGGAAGGCTGGTAGTGGTGCCTGCCTTTCTTGACAAGGGTAATGCTTCTCCCTAAAACAACAGACAGAGAGCTCCAGACTTTCTGTTGCAGAAAGAAAGGGGAGTTCATTGAGTGAGCTCTTCTAGAGTCCCTGGGTACTGCAAATGCTTGATAAACTTGGCTGCTATCTGAAAAGTTGGTGGTTTGAGTCCACCCACAGACACCTGAGAAGAAAGGCCTGGCAATCTACTTCCAAAAAAGCAGCCTTTGAAAACCCGAGGGAGCACAGTTCTACTCTGACACAGATGGGTTCACAATGAGTCAGAGTCGGCTCGACAGCAATGAGTTTTGATTTGATTCCTATGTTCTAGACACTGTAGGAGGATTTTACTCATGTTAACCCCCATCTAGTCTTGCAAGCAAGGACTTATGATGCTTTGTGGTGGTTAATTTTATGTATCTACTTGGCTAGACGATCATGCCCCACTGGTCAAACTCTAGCCTAGATATTGCTATGAAGGTATTTTCATATGGTTACCATTTAAATCAGTTGATATTAATTAAAGTGTATTGCCCTCCATAATGTGAATGGGCCTCATCCAATCAATTGAAGATTTTAAAGAGCAAAAAAGGATGTTTCTTTGAGCAAGATAAATTCTGCCTCAATACTGTAAATAGATGTCCTGCCATAATTTCCAGCCTGCTGTCCAGTTTACGAATTTTGGACTTGCCTGCCCCTAAAATTGTGTGAGCCAATTCCTTAAAATACACCTCTCTATATTAGGAGCTCTGGGAGCTCTGGTGGCACAGTGCCACCACTGAATGGCTGGAGCAAGTTCATTCATGCCTCTGGGCCTTAGTGTTATGCATCTGTCAAAGAGACATCATAAAACCTACTTCACAGATAAGCTGTGGAGATGATACCTGTCAGTTTCCCCCAGCCCAGCAGCCGTGGTTTTGCCCACCCCACTGAACCACAGGGAACAGCCCAGCAGCTCTGCAAAAGTGGTGGTTCAAACCCACCAGCCACACATTGGAAGGAAGGTTGAGCAATATACTTCCGTAGAGATATCACCTTAGAAACCCAAGCAGGGGTTTCTATGAGTCACAACGGACTCGACGGCAGTGAGTTTTTTTGTTTTTTTTTTTAATTTTTTTTATTTTTATAAAACCAGTCATCATCAAGCTGATTCTGACTCATGGCAACCCTATGCATGTCAAGAGAAGAACTGTGCTCCATAGCATTTTTAATGGATGATTTTTCTGGAAGTAGAAATGTCAAGCCTTTCTTTCAAGGAGCCTCCAGGTGGACTCAAACCTCTAAACTTGCAGTTAGTGGCCGAGGGCGTTAATCATTTGCACCACTCAGGATATTCTCTCTCTGGAAGACCCTGAATAAGACATCCTTGTTGTATTGATGAGAAACCAAAGCTGCCCAGGAACCACATCTAATTCCCACAACTACTGGAATTTTTATCTACCTTTCACATATGGAAAAACTGAAGCTCAAAGACGTTAAATAACTTGTGCATATGCATACAGCTGGAAAGGAGCAGAGTGGGAATTCAGTCTATTTAACTTCGGATCCGGGAGCTCTTGTAACATGGTGCCTAAGGCACTTGACTGCCAGTCAGAAGGCTGGTGGTTCAAATCTACCAGCCACTCCTCGGAAGGAAGATAGGGCAATCTACTTCTGTAGTGATACTGCCACGGAAACCCAAGGAGGGGTCACTGTGAGTCGGGTCCAACTTGACGGCACATAACAACAACAACAACTTTGGATCCAGCACAACCTGTCACCACTGAAGAACTGGAAATAACAGGGGTGTACGCATATTTGTGAGGGAGAAGGGGCATGGGCATGTAATCATGCTGTTTGTTACCTTGACCAGGTGAGGAAGACTGGTTTCAGACAGGAAATCTGGGTGAACACTCACCCTTTCTGTGTTATGAAAAACCTAACCTCCAACCTCTCACCAGGAGCTTTGGTAGCGTAGTGCCTTAAGCATTTGACTGCTAACTAGAAGCCTGGCTGTTCAAACCCACCAGGCACTCCTCAGAAGGAAGGTTGGTCAATCTACTTCCCTAGTGATACTGTCTCGGAAACCCAAGGAGGGGTCACTATGAGTTGGGTCCGACTCCACAGCACATAACAACAACCACTACCTCTTACCCTCCTCAAAGAGATGGAGTGGAATTGAGTGATAAAGAGTATCTATGAAGTTAGTTGAATCTATCCAACTCACAAACAGTATTCTCAGGAAAAGATTTGGATCTGAAGTCACTAACTGACAGCCTGAAGGCCAAATCTGACCTACAGAGGTGTTTTGTCTTGCTCATGGTATTTTATAAAACTTTAGATAGTGAAAGCTATGAGAGCCAGAACACAACAAAACTGCCTTTTTTTCCAGGTCTCACCAGTTTTCTGCCTCTGACAGGTACAGTCTTACTACTTTTCTATCGTTCATTTTAGTGGAAAATATTTGACAAGTTTCCACCTTATACAGGTTCTGGCTTTGTAGGTTTTAATGTAATTGCTATTGCTAACACTCTTATAAGCATCCCCAGGAGATGCAAACATTTAAGTGCTCAACTACTAGCTGAAAGGTCAGTGGTTCAAATCCACCCAGAAGCACTTTGGAAAACAGCCCTGGCAATTTGCTTCCAAAAGACCACAACCTTGAAAACCCTATGGAACAATTCTGCTCTGCACACAGGGGCTCACCAGGGATCAGAATCTACTCAACAACAGCTGACAACAAGAACACATTAATAGCTAACATTTTAAAAGTTCACCAAGTTCACATAAAAGTCCAGGTATCTCAAGTAGACACACGCCCTGGAGAGAACAATCATGGGAGAAGGAAGGGCTGCTTATGCACAGGGATACAGCTCAGGTGGCAGGAGAGTATGGAGGGATGGTCACTGGGAAGAGGTAACTATGGGGAGGAAGTGGGAGGGGAGCTGTTGCATTGTGGTAAACTGTGGTCAATGACATGAGACAAAATATATGTGAACTGCTGTATGGAAAGTGAATTTGCTCTGTAAATCTTCACCCAAATCAAAATAAAATAAAATAAAAATTAAAAGTCCAGGTATCTGAATTCTCTTGAAATTTTTGAATTTCTTGAACATTGTTGAAAAATCAGAAGTTCTAGCAACGCTGGGCCTCTTCCCATGTGGCCTACAGCAGCAGCAGTTGAGTAAAGCTGCTCCCTTTACTGGGAACGTGCTTTCTAATTTGCTGCAGTCCCCACCACTCCCTACTGCTCCTGTGGCAGGGAGTGCTGGTCTCCCCATAGCGTTGCCCTCCTACTACCAGTTTCCTTCTGTCAGAGGTAAGAGAAGATGAATGAATGTCTTAAGCTCTAAAAAGTAGGGTAAACAGGAAAACAAGAAGGGAGAATACATATTTCTTTGTAGAAATAAAAAGTATTTCTGTGTGCATTTTTTCCACATTGTTGTTTTTAGAGCAGATTTAGATTTACAGAGATACTGAACAGATAGAACAGAGAGTTCCATATACGCCTCTCCCTCCTGCCCACTCTTTCTGCTACTGTTCACATCTTGCATTCCTGTGGCTCACTTGTTGCAATAATGCACCAAGATTGACATATTACTATTAACTAAAGTCCATAGTTTACATTAGGGTTCTTCTCTCTGTGTTGTGTATATAGTCCCATGAGTTTTGACCAATGCATAATGTCATGTGTCCACCATATATATCATACAGAATGATTTCACTGTCCTAAAAATGCTCTGTGCTCCACCTATTCAGCCCTTCCCTTTCCTCCTGGACCCCTTGGCAACAACTGATCTTTTTACTGTTTAATATTTAATATGTAATTGCATCCCACCAAAAAGATACAACTAAAGAAACCAACTTGGCCCCTGTCACTCCTTTCTGCCTTTCTGTGATCCTAGTTGACATTTGAATTTAACCCTCTTTTAACCATTGTTTTAGACAGCCTCTGCTGCAGCTGCTCAGGAGGGGTGGAAGTCAGCAGGGCAGCTTGGCAGGCTCACAGCCAGGACTGTTCTCCAGACTAGCTCATGTGCTCTGGCACTCCCCAAAGCTTCTCTATCATCATTTCATTCCTTTTTTTGTTTTTCTTCCCTAGGTGTTCCTTTCCCGAAGAACTTCCTTCAAATCTGCAAGAAGATCCTGTGCCGCCTTTTTCGGGTCTTTGTCCATGTCTACATCCACCACTTCGACCGAGTCATTGTGATGGGTGCAGAGGCCCACGTCAACACCTGCTACAAACACTTCTATTACTTCGTCACGGAGATGAACCTCATAGACCGCAAGGAGCTGGAGCCCTTGGTAAGTGTCACTGGGCAGCAGTGCTCCCCGAGCCCAAGAGTTCAGCCGTTTGTAACAGTACACTGCCAGACTTGTGGAGAATGCGCATTGAAGCTTAGCTGTTAGCTGGAGGATTGCAAAATTGAACAGTGCTTACAGGTGAGCTGAAGGCCAGGAGATGCCACAATGTCTACTGCCACCCAAGGACATATCCTAGATTCCTCTCCCACTAGGAGCTGTGGTAGCATAGTACCTAAGGCATTTGACTGCTAACTGGAAGGCTGGCAGTTCAAACCCACCAGCCACTCGTTGGAAGGAAGATGGGGCAATCTACTTCCATAGTGACATGGCCTCGGAAACCCAAGAAGGGGTCGCTATGAGTCAGATCCAACTCAACAGCACATAACAACAACAACAACCCAAAGGTGGCAGAGTAGAAATGTAACAGTTGGACCACACAGAGTGGTTTGACTCCCAGCTCCAAAATCAGTCACCTATTTGTTTAATCTCTTAAATGGGTAAGTTTGATCTATTATGCTGCTAATCAGAGATGATCAGAAACATTTCTTCAGTCAGTAAATAAATATTTAGTACCTACTCTGTATCAGCTTCTAGCATACAAAGTTAGGTAAAACTGTCTTTGAGTAGTTTTTACTCCAGAGATTACTACTTGCTGGCCAGTCAGCTCCTACTCATAGTGAACCCATGTGTGTCACAGTAGAACTGTGCTCCACAGACTTTTCAAAGACTGATTTATCAGAAATAGATCACCAGGCCTTTCTTCTGAGGCACCTCTGGATAGACTTGAACCTCCAACTTTTGGGTTAGCAGCTGAGTGCATTAACCATTTGTACCACCCACGGACTCCACTCCAGAAATAGAGACAGAAGTAAACCAAAATGAGAATTCAGTATCATACAGACTTCACTTTTCATTCTGAATCTCCTACAATATAGTTTTAACAAGGTTTATTGGAATCCAGGACCTTTAATTTAAAAAATTCAACATTATTATGTAGATGAATGGGAATTCTTTTATTCTGTTTATGGGCTACTTTTACAGTTGAACTCACTCTATGCTTTAGAGACCAGAGACCCCTGAAGACCCCATCACCTTTTGTAATGTGTCCTATTTTAATGTGGATTCCCTTGTCACAGCTATTTCTAGTTGAGTTTGTTGAGTAGTCTTTTAGCCAGTATAATTCATTGCTTTTTAATAAAGTATGCTATTTTCTTGAAACTGTTTAATTAATCGGCAGTTTTATTAATACAGCTGACAAAAAAACTAAATTTCACCGAAGTCCATTTGAATAATGGCCAAAATGCTGGGGCCAGGCTGTCCTCTTTTGCTACCCTGTCTCCTTTTCTCTTTATGTTCAGTACTTGTATCTTGCTAAAAAGATGGTGAATTTTATGTATCACCTTGAGAGTTCCACAACTTGAAATATATTATTAGAGTACATAGCAAAAATAGCATTCTTTGCCTCACTCAGGAGTTCTGGAACAAAGGAAGATTTTGAGGCACAATTGAGATGTGTCTTACATGCACAGAAGAGCTAATTTTCTTCATTTTACATACACAACAGATTTTTAGAAAACTCTCTGAGGGCAGAAACCCAGTCATCACTGAACTGAGTTGCGCAACTGAGGTAGAGCAAGAAGCTAAAGCTTCAATGTTTGGGTTTTGCTACTTTGTCCTCTACAAAGGCTATTGTGAGTGAACAGCCACTACAAACTCTGTAGGGAAGAAAGATTGTGAAAACAGATCAAGGCCCTTTAAAAGACTTGAAAACATGGATGAAGTTAATTTCAGAAAATCTCAAGGACAAAAAAAAAGAGTAGCCAGAGGCCATATACATGCAGAGGGTGGAGAAACAACTGCAATCACCTGGAATGAGGTTCTGCTTCTCAGGGCAGTTAGTTCAGTCCTCTTTAGGGGAGGAGGTAGAGGGATATTGTCCTCTGTAAAGGGCCAACAGAAGGAAGAGATCCTACTAGGCAGCTCACACTTGGTTTCCCTGAGCTTAAGGCACATAAACTCCGATGAGTGTACTTGGAAGTCAGTCTCTCCTTTATGCACAGAAGTATAAAGGCCATTGTAGAATAAAGTTGAGCATAAGTTAACAAATAGAGAAAGCCTTTCTTTACCATCAAAGGACTCTCAGTTCATTTCTATAAATGAAGATTCTAACATCTGGCAGTACCAGGAGCTGACTTGAAGACAAAGGCCCCAAGATGTCAATATTTTAGAAAAGAATTTCTTTGCGGGCCTGGGAGACAAACCAAGACTAACCAGGAATTATTAGCAATGGAAGTAAACAAGAAGGGTGCCAGTTCTCCCCACCACAGAAGTTTATATTCTTTCAATCTTGCTTGAAACAGTATTCTTCCTACATTTATGTTTTGTTAATTATATTTACAGGGAAATTAATGTTTTTAAATATTAGTAACAACTTTTATTCTTTAAAAAATGCTTAACTGCCTGAAATTATGTATTTGCTTTACAAACCAAAAACTACAAAGTGACAGCAAAATATGTTGAGAATGTTTATGAGGACAGAAATTCAATGATGCCAGGCAAATTCCAGTGTTTGGTTCTCTAGTGCCACTGGAACAGAAATACTACAAATGGGTGCCTTGAACAAACAGGAATTCATTCTCTTACAATTTAGGAGGCTAGAAGTCTGAGTTCAAAGTGACAGCTCTAGGGCCTGGATGAAATTCCCTTGACATTGGCCTTCAGCTCTGCCCCTTGCTCCCAGCCCACTGAAGCTGGAAGCTTCTCTTAACTCAGACAGCTGCTGGCTGCTGAAGCTGACAAGGTCAACAAGTAAAATGGCACAGTCCCAAGATTATCAAGCAACATGGCAGGCCACTAGTTAAACTGTCCCAAGATCACCAGACAACATGCCAGACCACTGATGACTCAGCCAAATGCAGGATCCAGATGTGCCAAACTTTCAGAGACTTCTCTCAAATCTTCTTACTTACTGCAAGCAGACCACATCCCCAGGCAGCTACTCAGCTGCTCACAGTAGCTTCCACCATGGAGTTGATTACCAGAGTCATCATGGGGAATAACTATATCTAGCAGCCCAACCAGTCAAAACCAGGCCCAGCCAAGTTGACACATAACTTTAACTACCACAACCAGTGTATGTGGTAGATTTGTATTGCTGAAATGTGAGCTTTTATTTCAATAGTTGATGGTGTTGGAATCTTTGAGTTCTAAGCCTCGTGATACAAGACACCTGTTAAAATCACTTATAGCATATCAAATCAATACCTTTTTATTTGATTTACTTATACTGAGAACCTTATAGATGCAAAGCAAGTTGCTTAGATATTCTAAATGCATAAGAAATATATGCTTTCATAGGGTAACCTCAAAGAAAAATTATAAACCTTCACATCACAATAGAAAAGAGGACAAGCACAAATATTCAGCATATACTAAAACAAC